AATAACACCAGTTCCTGTAAGTTCTTAATTTGCAAGTAGTGTCTCCAGTGTAAGAACCACTTTTTTTCAGATCAATGAGGATGTGTGTGTGTGTGCTAAGTTGAGTCAGACGTGTCTGATTCTTTGCAACCCTATTGAACTGTAGCCCACCAGGCTCCTCTGTCCGTGGGATTCTCCAGGCAAGCAAACTGGAACGGGTTGCCATGCCCTCATCCAGGGAATCTTCCCAACTCAGGGACAGAAACTTTGTCTCTTTGGCAGGCAGGTTCTTTATCATTAGTGACACCTTGGAAGCCCTAAAGAGGATATACCTCATGTATAATACATACTTGCCTCAGCTGGTAAAGAATCTGCCTGCAATGTGGGAGGCCTGGGTTCGATCCCTGGGTTGGGAAGATCCCCTGGAGAAGGGAGAGGCTACCCACTCCTGTATTCTGGCCTGGAGAATTCCATGCACTGTACAGTCTGTGGGATCGCAAAGAGTCGGACACGACTGAGAGACTTTCACTTTCTTTGATATGTTATACTTCAGTATCAACTACTATGCTTGGATGGCTTTTGAGTAATAATTGTGGGCCTTTCTCATTCTATATTCCATGTGTGTTAAGGTGTGTGTGTGAATGTGTACACACACGAGCCCAGCTGTGTCTGACTCTTTGCAATACTATGAACAGGCTCCACTGTCCATGGATTTTTCTAGGCAAGAGTACTGGTGTGGGTTGTCATTTCCTCCTCCAGGGTATCTTCCTGACCCAGTGATTGAACCTAAGGCTCTTGTGTCTCCTGCATTGGCAGCTGAATTTTTTTTTACCACTCAGCCACCTGGGAAGACTGTGTTTTAACCTACCTTTTATATAATCACTCACTTTATCCTTCCTCCATGTCTTCTGAAAAGTTTCATGAGATCTACATTCCAGTTTACTAATTTTCTCTTTAACTTTATCAAAAGCTGTCTCTGACCTGATCTGATTTTTAATCTTCCATTGAGTTTTAACCTCTCACTGGATCACCTTCCATTCGATTTTCCCCCAAATCTCTATCGTTTTTACAATATTCTACTCTTTCACTTGCATTTACATTCCTTTTAAAAAGTTTACCTTTTTATTGTTATTTATTTTACAGCCTCATTCAGATTGCTCTAGGAGTCCGTGTTATTAAAGTACTGACACACCTATTTATTGTCGCCAACTTTCCCTTGCAGCAGACTATTTACTCCCTTGGGTGATATAAAACTTGTATCATCAATTAATTTTCAGGAGTGAGTTATCTTTATTCTAGACCAATGCACTTAGGTTGTGGAAAAAACTCCTGAAAATGGTTTGCTGTTCACTTCTGCTGGTACTCCAGAAGTTTTACTGCTTATATAAATTACACATACTTTGCATTTTCCTCTCTGTACCGTATCTTAGACTTCATATCCAGAACTAAGTAAAGGACTGTGGTTTTATTGAAGTGAAGACTTTGTCTTTTCTGTACCATCAATTTTCCTGTTGCTTTCCTGGGCTGATGGGTAAAAATTTTGAGTTATTTTTCATGGTGGGGGAAGCCAGTTATGAGACCCAGCTTTATTCAGGTTTCTTGCTTTCCACTCAGCCTCAGATCCAAAAACCTAACTCTCAATCCCTAGGACCTACATCCATGTCTAACGCCTCTCTTGGTTATTCTGGTGTCCACTTATACAGATACTTCTTTAGATCTGAGTTCATTTCTGTTACTTGAGAATTTCTCTTTCTTTTGAACTTGATATTCTCTCTCTCTCACACACACAGACTCCAAATGTGTTCATATGTCTTTTAAGTTTAAACATTTTATCCAATATTTCTAGATATTTTCATTCAAAGGTGCTTATAATGAGGGGAATGGCTAAGGAAGAAATGTGTCCAAATATGATTATTTTGAACAAATTAATGAATAAACATTGACAGTAATATTTTTTATATATTTTATACTGTATTGTTCTTAAGTACCAATCTGGCTTTTAAAATATACAACACTACATTATCTATGTAACTCTGAATTCTACTGATATCCATCAGGAACTCTTGAATTCTTCCTTTCTAGTAGTGTATCTACATCCAAATCACTTGTAGACAACTTTTAGTACATTCAGAGGTTGCACTGCCTCCCTAATTCAGTGGTAAGCAGGCTAGCTCTGAGATAATATTACAATACTTATAAAGAGCTATTTATCAATGCATTGCAGACGCTAAGTCTCAATGTAAACAAACATTAAATGATATTTTCTAATTATTAACTGCAGCTTTATAGCTATCTTTTCTTTTCCCATTCTTTTTCTTAATTCAGAAACTTGTCCCTCTTAAAAGCTTGGTACTTTCACTATCAGAAGCCTTTTGTTTTCCAAAATGAGGACATTATTTTTTTTTGCAAGACATTGTCAGCATTGCTAATACCAGAAACACCCAGCTTACTGTAAACAGAAACTATAACTCTCACTGTAAAATAATATAATTATACAGCACTACTGTATCTGAAGTTTTTATCCCTGAGGAAATCATAACAGCACAAACTACAACTATCTTTTGTACTACAGTAGATACAAGAAGGAGGAAGAAAGAATTTATTGACTTAGTAGAGACTGTTACTATAGCAAATCAGAATTACAAAAGGAAACTGCTTTTTAACTGACTGATTTTAATTCAAACACCCAAATGTTCCAGTCTGATAGGAGACTTGATAAAGAAATAAACAACAAACAACCACTATTACAGCCTCATTCTCCTTCCTTATTTACACATACACACACCTCGTGCCCAATCATTAGAAAAAATTGTATTAATTCTGTAAGAAATAAGCTAGATGCTAAGGGAATGCTGGGCCATGGCTCAGCCAGTAAAGAATCTGCCTGCAATGCGGGAGAACTGGGTTCGATGCCTGGGTCAGGAAGATCCCCTGAAGAAGGGAGTGGCTGAACACTTCAGTATTCTTGCCTGGAGAATTTCAGGGACAGGGGAAACTGGCAGGGGTTGCAAAGAGAGGGACACAACTGAATGACTAACAACTTTCACTTTCAAAGGGATGCTATATCATGAAATTCTTAACTTGAACATTTCATACTTTGTGGGCTTCTCTGGTGGCTCAGTGGTAAAGAATCTGCCTGCCAACACAGAAGACGTGGGTTCAATCCCTGACCCTGGAAGATCGCATAGGGCAGCTAAGCCCGTGCGCCACGACTGCCGAGCCTGTGCTCTAGATCCTGGGAGCCGCAACTACTGACCCATGTGCCACAACCATGAAGTCCTACAGCCTGTGCTCCATAAAGAGAAGTCACCCCAACTAGTGAGTAGCCCACACAGCAGTGAAGACCCAGCGTCAGCATAGCGAAAAATAAATGAATAGCATTTTTCCAAAAAGAGTATTTCCTGCTTTTATTTGATATATGTCATAATTTAGAATGTGTCATTGTGTGTAACTAATAAAAGGACCAATGTTCCATCTTGTAGCATTGTACTCCTTATTAAATCAGTTGCTTTGGGAATTTTAAAATATGCACAATGGAAGCAGAAGGCATTAAATCACCCAAAGCTGAAGGATAATATTGAGAAAGGGAGTGAGCCCGAGAGAAACTTCGAATATTGTTACTTTTCAATCACATGAGTTAATTCATTCTAAACTAAAAGAATACTACTAAACTATAAAAGTGTTAAAAATAACTTGTGTGGTATGTTTCCATTTTAATCCTCAACTCAAACTAACACCTAGAGGAACAAATTCTGTATCTCTGGATAAGCAGTTAGTAAAACAGCTGTATTCTTCTCATTCTGTGTTTCTGGTACAAATAGTGAGTTGCACAGTAGCTATCCTCAAATCACAACCAGAAAATATGCTTTACACTCAGCTGCAGCCTGTTCTCAAAGAATACCACATACCATGGACAGAAAAATAAGAGGCCCATTAGATTTATATTCCGTGTCAACAATGAGATTATCTATCTATCTGTATTTTAAGTAAAGTTTCTTTTTAAAGGTCCCTGTAAGCATAGACTCTGGGAGACAAACATAATTTCATAAATGTGCTGAAAATATCTTATTCTTAAATGACAAATACAAATACTTCCACACAAATACATTTGATTGCTTGTATCCCACAGGCAATTTGTACTATGTTATAAGAAATGTCAACATTTGTCCACCATTACCCAAGATCCAAAGACAGCACATTGCTTGATTCATTCAACTGTACAGGTATGATTTCAGAACAACTTTTAGTACCTTAATTCATGCCCATAAAAAAGATGGTTAATTTTGTATATTTAAGGGCTCCTCAGTAAGTATGGAAAGTATTTTAAGTATGGAAATCAAACCACCATCTCATTAAGAAAATCTAAGTAACAAAGCCATAAAAAATGTGGAATACTTAGCTTATAGCATCTATTATATTGCTGAGCCCAGATCTTATACATCCATTTTAAAATTTACATCTTATAAACATGATTCCCTTTAGATAGACATTATAATTTTCATACAAACCCAGCAATTTCAAGGGCTTGTGAAGATATTCCCACTAAACACTTGGAAATTGGTAAATCTACCAGCAGAAATGTTTCTCGTCCTTGTACATGTATTCTAAACGTCATGGACATTGGGTCAGTAACAGCCATGAATTAGAAGTAAACAGCTTACTTTTTGGAAGTCGTGTGACTCTCTGAGGAGTTTAGGGTGCCCTTTTGGGCACTCTGATAAAACAGAGCAGCAGTTCCCTGCCCTGAAAAGAGTGACAGACCCTCCAGGGAAACGACTAAACCACGTTTTGCTCATGGGAAAGCAGTGCTGTATGTGCCATTTGTTAACTGGACACAGTTATTATTCACTCTGGTTTCTGGGAGATTCATGTTTTTTCAATTTTGAGAGCCCTAGTACTGCATTTTTGTTGTTATTCAAGGGATTTTGGGTGTTGTTTTTTTTTTTTTAATATTTCCTTCAAGGAAATCCAACGTTAAGACTCCCACCTCCCCCGTGTCTGCGGTTTGCAGACAGACTTACTCTGCATGCACAGCCCGTCCGTGCAGTTCTTGGACTGCAAGACCAGGCCGTCGCAGTCCTTGCCTCCATTCTTGGGGGCGGGGGCCGTGCACTCCCTCCGGCGCCAGTGAGTGCACTCGGTCCCACAGGTGGACCACTTGCTCCAGGAGGTCCACCTGCCGTCCACTGCCACAAAAAACACACACACACAGCGACAGGTCAGAGAGAGGAGGAGCTTCTTGAAGGCAGAAAGGGGCAGGGCTCAGGTAGAAACAAAGCATGAACACCGAAGGAAACGCGCCACCAGGGAGTGCTGCATTCATTTCAACTGCTGGAAGCAGCACATGCTCTCCACGCATCCTGCGGGTTCTGCAGACTTTCCTTCCAAGAGGTGTTGGGACTATTTCTTCACTGACCAAGCAAGGGAAGTTTAATGGGACACACAGAAATCAAAGTTGTCATCAGGAGTTATATAAAGGTAAACCCTAGTAGGGCCCCTTTTTCTATTACAGAGGAAACTTCTAGGTTTTGGATTGAAAATTAGGGGACCTCTTTTTGGATCCAATATTCCCGTGAATTGTGCCAGTAAACCTCTGTGGGGTTAAGGAGAAGAGGTCAGAAGAGTGGGGGAAAAAATCCATCCATTCATCTATCCACCCACCCACCTCCATCCTATCCATATATTCATCTACATTCCCATTTATCTATCTCTCTCTCTCTCTCTACCACTCTATTCATCTACATCTTATACACTCTTTTTAAGTTTTCATCCATGCTGCTTAATTCTGCTAAGATATTCTGCAATGCCTTCCTGAAAAGACTATTTTCCATTTATTATTTGATTATTTCATTCCATTATTTTATTTGATGATGTACACATTTTTATTTTTGTTTTAAAAATAATATTTAAGCACATTCTTAATTTTTTCCTGTGATTCAGTCATTTGGAATAGACTCACTTTCTTCTTAATTTTGGTGCTTGACCTGTTAGTAAATTTCAATGATAATAAGCTAAGATAACTCTATTTAAAAAAAACACACAACTTAAACCCTAACCTGAGAAAATATATAGTAAATTTCACTAAGGTGATACTTTAAAATGCATTCTTTAAAGGTTCTTACATAAATAAGAAGAAAATATCAAAATAAGAGTTACATTAAAAAAAATTTCCCTGAAATCCATAAATAATTACCCAGGAATAAATGTAAGACAATGGCAAACATCATTTATTGAACATGCACCATACATAACATGTTATATCTACATCTTGCTCGAAATTAGACCAATTTTAATAGTCTGTGTAGTTTAGAGAATCTCTGATGTCATTTTTAAATTACTGTGTAAATATATGTATTATGCACAATGTAGAGAGATATAAATATGCCCACATGAAAAAACAATGAAAGTATTAATATTTCAACTGTACAGAGTTAGCTACATAAATAACCCCCAACTATCTAGAGAAAAGACGTTTGCTTTGACCTCGACCATCCTAAAGTACACACACAAACACACATTTCTATTTCAACTAAATGCTTGTATGTATGCATGCGTGCTCAGTCATATTAGACTCTTTGCGACTCCATGGACTGTGGCCTGCAAAGCTCCTCTGTCCACTGAATTTTCCAGGGAAGAATACTGAAGTGAGTTGCCATTTCCTACTCCCAAGGGATCTTTCTGACCCAGGGATTGAACCAGTGTCTCCTGTCTTGGCAGGCAGATTCTTTACCACTGAGCCACTAGCAAAGCCCAACTAAATGTATTTCTAATTGTGGGAGTCGGTATGTAGATAGAATATAGAAGAGTACAAGATAAAAAGTATTGAAATTCTTAGCCTAGCTAAGTGTCAAAGTTTGTTCCATAAATAAAAGCTCTTAAAAGGGTTCAGAGTGGGATACCGTTTTGATACTTAGAAAATTAACATAGGAATTATAAAATTTAGATTATGGTTTCTCTCCAGTTCATTTCTCTAACCTATCTCTGAGAAAGGTTCCACTTAAGAATGAACCTGACAAAAGTCAGGCAAAATAAAGGCAAGTGAAGAGTCTTTGTATCTAAATAATGAAGGTGATAATAGCTACTCCAAAGGAATAATTAATAATAATTTTAGCTTAATTTTTCAATATATTATATAATTAGACAGTTAGTAGGTTTTGGTTTCAGCAGATATAAACTTCAATTCACCAAAGCATAAGAGCTTGGGACAACATAAGAGAACACAGACAGATGCTCAGAGGCAAACGGATGCAATCCTGTTATAGGTACCATTGCAAATAACTCAAAAAGAGGTGACTAACATATAGACATGTTACCATATGCATGTATATACTGTTGGGTGATACACAGGGAAGCCTGGCATGCTGCAGTCCATGGGGCTGCAAAGAGTTGGACACGACTGAGCAACGGAACTGAACATGAATAGATAATAGCTGATTGCATCGTATTTTCAAAATCCATTAGCTTGTGTGTCATAAAGCTTAGACTTCCTTTTAGTTCATTCCAAATGCCTTATTTGCCCTTGCCCAGAAACTGACACCAAATATCAAGTACTTTACCTCAAACATTTTCTAAATTTCAGTTCCAATTAATTTCCTTGACTTTCTGAATATCAACGGTTGCTATCCTAAGTGTATGGCTTTCGATGCTGCTCAAATGCCTTGAATTATAAGATCCTGCAAACGTGGCTCAAACAGTTTTGTTGAGTAATAAAGAGGGATTATGTTCCTGTGTGTTTTTCATACTATTTTGCATGTTAATGTAATTAATAACGTAAAGTACTCTTTTGGTGAAAAAGACAAGATTTCCCAGTAATGTGAGCATTGGAAGGTATGATGGATTTACATACTATCTATCACACATTCAGGTCTAGAATAAGCCTTTGTGTATATACCGTAAAACATTTCTCGAATGAGAAGATGCATTTGGAATGAGGGTGCTGGTTTATTTACCTGGGCATAACGTGGTACAGGCTATTTTTTGTACACTCTGCCCTTCACAGAAGGCACCACCATTGAGCGGAGCTGGGTTGGTGCAGGTCCTTGTACGCTTCTGATATCCCCGTCCGCAACGGCTATTACACACAGACCACTCTGTCCAAGTGGACCAGCCACCATTTACTGGAAGGAAATGATAAAACATGAATTAAGTGTACATGCATACACACAGAGATGCATAAACCACATATCAGACATGAACAAGAATGTTGTATCCCAAGGGACCATAAAAAGTCAAGAGCTTCAAAGCTGGAAGAGACCTTGGATGTAATTTCATTCAAAATTTTATTACTACAAAACTAAATAATCTAGGCACAGGGATAAAGAAAATGAATTATCAACATCTATCTACCTACTCAGACAACAGAACTGTGTTCTCGTCTCCTTAGCCACTGTTGTTTTAAAAAACATCCCCTTACCTACTAAAGCTCCAAAAATTATTGATACCTTTGACACAACTTATCTCAAATAATATGCTTATATCCTTGTACCAAGGCTAAGTGGCTATGAGGCATGGTAACTGATAAAATCATTTAGCCTTTCCTTAATAATAGATGATTATTCATCTTTAGCATATATAAACTTTATAACATTACAAGAACTTTTAGTTTCATTAATAAGTGAATCTATTTTTTTAAAAAGTCTTGATAGCTGGATTTTTAACTAAGTATCTATTTGAATGGATCAGCATTAGCTGACGTAACTGCAATTGACACATATTTTGTGTATAAAGACTATTTATGGTGTTTGACGGAGCTGTCAGTATAGATGTGATTATAAAACCTACCATCTAGCACTATGTATATTATTAACCTCTAGAGATTTCACTCTAGAAAATACTGATATACTCTCATATCTCAATGTATGAGTCCATGAAATTATTATAATTAAGCAATTTATTAAAAAATTATTTTCTGCTGGTTAAAACATGCTACAAACAGTATATGCATCTACTTCTTGATGGTAAAGAAGTGTGTTACTCAGATAACAGAAACCTATATAGGGACATCACATGCCCATCATCTCCTTCTCTAGAATCTTTTGCAATAGGGAATAATCATGAATGTGTTATACACAGAGACATAGGCTGTTTTTCAGTGGAGAATTATTTTTTCCTGTATCAAGATAACAACTTTTATAAAAAGATTTATCTTTATTTTTTTGTATAAAGATAAATAAATGAGAACAATTTGGACATTCAACAATAAGAAAATGGTAAATGTACTATGTTCATGAGATTGGCTGCCAGGCAGCTATTAAAAATGATGTTGCCTGTGTGCACCCCTATGTTCATAGCAGCACTATTCACAAGAGCCAAGACATGGAGACAACCCAAATGTCTGTCAATAGGTAAGGGATAAAAAAGATGAGGTACATATATACAGTAGAATATATGTATATATATATTATATATATACATATATATGTATATAAAAAAGGACAAAATAATGCTATTTGCAGCAACATGGATGCAGCTAGAGATTATCATACTAAGTGAAGTAAGTTAGAAAGAGAAAGAAGTAAGTCAGAAAGACAGCATTAAAGCATCACATACTAAGTGAAGTAAGTCAGAAAGACAAATACCATATGATATCACTTAAAGGTTGAATCTAAAATAAATATGATACAAACAAACCTATCTATGAATCAGAAACAGAATAAGGGACATAGAGAATTGTGGTTGGCAACTGGTGGTTGCCAAAGGGAAAACACTGTAATGCAACTATACTTAAATAAAAGAATACATTAAAAAAAAATGCTGTAGAAGTCTATTTAATAATACATGGATATTTCAACATTATGTTTTAAGCAAAAAAAATTATATCCCTTATTTTAAAATCTTATCTATGTTAAGAAAATATCGGTAGTATACATATCCATCTTTTTTAAAGCTATCTTTGGATGGCAAAATGACAGGATTATAGGTTTTATTTTTTCTTTGCCATTTTTCTGTTTCCCAAGTTTCCTATAATGAATATATACTTGCAATCTAAAAATTATACTAACAACAGACTCAAAAATGAAATACTGGTTAAATGTATATGTTTTTCTGTGGTCTTCTAGTGAGTCCAACCTATGAGCCTTGGACAACTTATTTTGTGAGGCCATGAAAGAACATGCAGATGTTTGACAGAGTTTTGTGTTCCAAAAGTAATTTAACCTACTCAACTTCACAAAACTCCAACTACTGTGGAACTGTCAGTATAAATTTTTTACCAACATACTGGCAAGCTGATATTTGGGGTTACAGTAATGCTCTGCTAGGATTTTAATGACAAATTAATAACCAGAAATGTTTAGAAAAAGACAAGCCTTGAAGATTCTAGGCTTATTCCATTATTTTCTGGGGAAGGAGGTATGTGCTCTGAATATTGTAATGCTCAAGCATCCAACTGAAGGTGAGTTACTGCTAGAACGAGGCCGAGAACATCAGACTCCCGAGCCCTACTGCCACACTGCTTTCTAAACTCAAAATGCTTTAGTTCCTCACGTTTGATCCTTACTAAAGACAATGTTTGGCTTGTGCTTATGGATATTGAGAACATGCTATACATAGGAAAAGAGTTGCTTCTATGTAATACATCTATTTAAGAGTCTGCCCTCATTAATCACTTAACGATTGGTACAAACTGTGATGGACCCTATTTTTTTTTTTTTTTTGCATTTCTAGTGCTGTTTATTAAGTCATTCAGAGAGTCTAGAAAAAGACCAAAAGTGAGAAACACTTCACTGTGACTTAAGGAAATTAAACTTCAAGAGTATTCAGAGGATTTTTTAAAAAAAGAAGTATGCATCTGTCCTGTAATGAAAATGACAGCATTAAAGCATCACTACATTCAGCCTTTTGAATGTCACAGTGGTTTCTGTTTTCATAACATCCTTCAGCCCGAGGATGCAACAGCCAAGCAGTGCTACCTGCAGTAAGTGCACTGAGCCACGTACTTGCCAGTGACAAATCTCCTGAAGTGTCGTCTAACACCAAAGGAGCCGTGAACAGCTCCCTACCTTTTAAGTAGTGGCCATTATCATTCTGGAGGTGGATGAACCTCAAAACATGTCTCAGTGTTGTTCAGTTTCCTCTCAGACAATAACTCACCAAGAATATAAAGATCGACCGTATAACTAACACTGTAAGAAGCATAAATGTATAGAGTTGTCTCTTTTGTCTACCAAGGAGCTTAAAAACCTCACTGGGCAGGTGGAACTGCTCGTGAAATGAGAAAACTGCTGAGTGCTAAAACAGGGAGATAAAAACATCACATGCAGTGGCAAAAGTGGGTGTGGAATCATTTAGTCCTGGAGAAATGATAGGCTTAGAGAAGAGATGGATTAGAAAAGGCCAGAGAATGGAAGAGAAGCTCTTTGAAGAAGTCATCATGTTGCAGCTTGCTACAGGTTAGGACTAGAGCTGCATGACAATGGCAGGCCTTGTCTTCACGGTGGATGTCCTTGATGGAGTGTAAAGCAAGTTCTAGGCAGTTAAAGCTGCTCTGATGTGTTTGGAGAACATGTCAGCTCCAGTTTACCTGAGATCTTGCAATCACTCTCCTGAGGCCCACAGAAAGAGCAGCAGGCTGCTTTAAGTATCTTCATCTCAGAACTCCCTCTAGGTCTCAGGAGTCCAGGCTGAGAAGGGGGCAGGGCTTAGGGAAGCGGGGAACCCTGCTGGATTCCTGAGTTCAGTTTGAAACTCAGGACATTTATGCTTCTTAGGGTGTCAGATCCCTCAGTGGATTTCCTTTACTGTCCTATAAACTGACAAAGGGCTAGAAGTTCCAAGTCCAGGTTTTTTTTATGAGCATCAGAAAAGCAGTTAAACCTCACTGTCCACATGAGAAGCAGGAAGAGAGCTGCGATGGGGACTGAGAAGGGCCCTCTTCACTTGTTATTTTCCCATTCAATGAGAAACTGCAGTTTGACCTGAGCTAGATGGAGGCACACACAGCTCACTCACCATAGACTATGACAGTTGCGGTCGTGCTTTTCCTCTTGGCGACAATGTTTTTGGCAACACAAGTATAGTTGGCGGTATCTGAGAGGCGGGCCTGCTTGATGATGAGGTTGTGATCAATAGTAATATAAAAATTCCGGTCTTCCACAGGATCGATGATGTCTTCATTTTTCAACCATTCCACCTAAAGATGCACAAGAGAAACAGATAAATCCCTGCTATGAATCCCCTGATGGCTGTCAGTCCTGACTTTTGTTTTGCAATGTGAACAGCACTGTTCCATGCTACGGAATCTGCAAACTTGAGGAAGTAACTTTCTGAGGTCATGTTAAGTATCACTCACCTGCCAAACATGCTGATTCTGTCTGTACTGCATTATTCTCAAATGTCAATGACCCAATTGGGAAATACAGCGTTCAAATTGTTTTCACTTTGCCCCGCAGGCAGGAATAGGTGATGTGCACTGCCAAGTTCAGAACCCAATCAAAAATAATGGGCTAAGCACTTCAAACTGAACTCAAATCTTTTGCTATTTGATTTGTTTACTCTTGGCAACTTACCTGCTGCTTTTCAGAAAAGAATACAAGGACTATCAAAAAAGTTCAAAAGGCGTCTTAGACATCATGCAGCTCTAGTAAAACAACATTTGGATGATTTATGTATAGTCTTGTTGAAACATATGGATTAAATTTCCCTGAAAATGCACTTATTTTAAAATGTAGCAAACACATATTTAGAGATGTATTTAAGCCAAAATACTGGGGAGGGGAAAAAAAAAGGTTTTCTACCAACTCTCAACATGATCTAAAGAGCATATAAGTCATAGTCGAATCTCTCCTTTTGTCTGTCACTAGTATCAAATCTTTGGCTCTCATGGTTTGCTCCTGGAGAACCCAAGACATGACTATTCAAAACTACTCAACTATTTTTCATATGTAAATCTCAGTGTAGCAACAGCAATGTTATCCTTATAGAATGAAAGGAGGGAAGGACATTCTGTAAAATACATCCTTATGAAGGATAAACTGTTTTTGTCCCATAAATTGCTTTTCTTCCTCAGGGGCTTTCCATAAAGCAAAACATACTGATATTTACCCCACTTAAACTTTCCTTGCGCATTAGAGTGGATACAGATACAAGTAACCTTTAGTAGTAGGGAGTCAACAGTGTTGCCATTTTCAAAATCTTAAGGAGCTTCCCCCAGCACCACAAGAGGTCTGGAAATTAATCTCTAAATCTGTCAGTGGGCTGGATGTTACACAAATTATGTTTAACACTGAGACTCTAAAATAATGCTTCTCTAATCCTTAGGAGAGAGGCCACAATTTAAAGGGAAAAACAGAAATCAGCTTGAAGTAAACATATGAGGATGTAGATAAGAATAATTATTTGTAGTAAGTTTTGAAACAATGTTTACATTTAAGGATATTTAATGAAAGGGAAGAAGACTGAAGTCCATCTAAAACAGTGGAGTTTTAAAACATGCATTTTGTTCTCATTTAAAACAGCACATTCAATACTGTGCTTAGATACAGCTGGTAAAAGACATGCTGGCTTAACCTGGATTTTCTCAAAATTTGGCCCCATGTGTTTTGTAATATGGGCTTTCCAGGTGGTGCTAGTGGTAAACTTGCCTGCCAATGCAGGAGACTTAAGAGACGCAGGTTCAATCCCTGGGTTGGGAAGATCCCCTGGAGGAAGAAACGGCAACCCATTCCAGCATTCTTGCCTGGAGAATCCCATGGAGTAGCCTAGAGGGCTACAGTCCATAGGACTGCAGAGTCAAACATGACTGAAGTGACTCAGCACACACACACAATCATGTGTGGTAATAAAATCTTGCTAGAAATGCAAGGGAGAAGATAGCAAGATTCAAAATATTAAAAAAAAAAAAACCTGCTTACTGATAGTAGAAAACTGATTTTAATATTGTCTGAATCTCTATGCAGGTTATCTCTGCCACTCGAAAGAAAGCTTTTCACTTAGAAAAGGTACTGCTGGGCTTCCTGGGGGTGTGTGTCTGTGTGTGTGTCTTTCAAAGACCCGTCAGTACAGTTCAGTTCAGTCGCCCAGTCGTGTCCGACTGTTTGCGATCCCATGGACTGCAGCACACCAGGCCTCCCTGTCCATCACCAACTCCTGGAGTTGACCCAAACTTATGCCCATTGAGTCAGTGATGCCATCAACCATTTCATCCTCTGTCATCCCCTTCTCCTCCCGCCTTCAGTCTTTCTCAGTATCAGGGTCTTTTCCAACGAGTCAGTTCTTCATTTCAGGTCACCAAAGTATTGGAGTTTCAGCTTCAATATCAGCCCTTCCAATGAACACCCAGTACTGATCTCCTTTAGAATGGACTGGCTGGATCTCCTTGCAGTCCAAGGGACTCTCAAGAATCTTCTCCAGCACCACAGTTCGAAAGCATCAATTCTTCGGCGCTCAGCTTTCTTTATAGTCCAACTCTCACATCCATACATGACTACTGGAAAAACCATAGCCTTGGCTAGACAGACCTTTGTTGACAAAGTAATGTCTCTGTTTTTTATTTTATTGTTTTGTCTCTGCTTTTTAATATGCTGTCTAGGTTGGTCATAACTTTCCTTCCAAGGAGTAAGCGTCTTTTAATTTCATGGCTGCAATCACCATCTGCAGTGGTTTTGGAGCCCCCTAAAATAAAGTCAGCCACTGTTTCCACTGTCTCCCCATCTATTTGCCATGAAGTGATGGGACTGGATGCCATGATCTTAGTTTTCTGAATGTGAGCTTTAAGCCAACTTTTTCACTCGCCTCTTTCACTTTCATCAAGAGGCTGTTTAGTTCTTCACTTTCTGCCATGAGGGTGGTGTCATCTGCATATCTGAGGTTATTGATATTTCTCCCAGCAATCCTGATTCCAGCTTGTGCTTCATCCAGTCAAGCATTTCTCATGATGTACTCTGCATATAATTTAAATAAGCAGGGTGACAATATACAGCCTTGACACACTCCTTTTCCTATTTGGAACCAGTCTGTTGTTCCATGTCCAGTTCTAACTGTTGCTTCATGGTCTGCATACAGATTTCTCAAGAGGCAGGTCAGGTGGTCTGGTATTACCATCTCTTTCAGAATTTTCCAATTTGTTGTGATCCACACAGTTAAAGGCTTTGGCATAATCAATAAAGCAGAAATAGATGTTTTTCTGGAACTCTCTTGCTTTTTTGATGATCCAGTGGATGTTGGCAATTTGATCTCTGGTTCCTCTGCCTTTTGAAAAACCAGTTTGAACATCTGCAAGTTCACATATTGTTGAAGTCTGGCTTGGAGAATTTTGAGCATTACTTTACTAGCATGTGAGATGAGTGCAATTGTGCAGTAGTTTGAACATTCTTTGTCATGGCCTTTCTTTGGGATTGGAATGAAAACTGACCTTTTCCAGTCCTGTGGCCACTGCTGAGTTTTGCAAATTTGCTGGCATATTGAGTGCAGCCCTTTCACAGCATCATCTTTTAGGATTTGAAATAGCTCAACTGGAATTCCATCACCTCCACTAGCTTTGTGCGTAGTGATGCTTCCTAAGGCCCACTTGACTTCACATTCCAGGATGTCTGGCTTAGGTGAGTGATCACACCATCGCTCTCATCTGGGTCATGAAGATCTTTTTTGTACAATTCTTCTGTGTATTCTTGCCACCTCTTCTTAATATCTTCTGCTTCTGTTAGGTCCATATCATTTCTGTCCTTTTTTGAGCCCATCTTTGCATGAAATGTTCCCTTGCTATCTCCAATTTTCTTGAACTGTGCCAGCTATTTGTCTTTGAAGAATAGCCCTTGGACTCCTGGATGTTTTGCCTGGAAGTACCTAGGGGCTCACAGCTTCCCCTGCGACCTCCTCCTTTGCTATCTCCTCACAGGTGTGGAAATAAGCCTTCTGTCTAATCAGATTGGAACCTGAGTTGTCACTCTCGAGAGCTCCCTTGCAGGGTTGCAGGCTGAAGCTACCTCCTTAACACATCTCCTAAATTTACATTTTCTGGGTCTCTCCTTTTCTCTCTTGACTGGGCTCTCCTGGGGGCACTCCCATAACCAACCCTTTGCATTCAGACCTCTGCTTCACGCTCTGCTTCTGAAGAACCCAACCTATTAATAAATCAAGATTGTGCAAAACTATGGGTTTTTTCTATGTACATAATAGGTAACAACAGTAATGCTATCCGGATCATAAATGACATGAAGAGATCTCAAGGGATATTGCAAACCACTTGTTTATTTGAAAAGTTTATTACATGGAATAAAAAAGCAATCAGCACTGTTGACAAAGGATTTAAAAAGACTTATGTGATTATTGGGTATGTAATCTCTACTTTCTCATACATGGCTTTGCATTTTCCTCGGTGTCTCTCTTCAGCATAGGAGCTATGACTACATGAGATATGAGGACCTCTGAGGCGCTCTAGAAATGTGGCCGCTCTCCTGGACCCTCTAAGGGATACTGCCTTCTTCCCCTTCAGCTTTAACCAGGGAAGCTCTGCCTCAATCTGTTCTCCACACTGGGATAGCCTGTATGCATCTGTCTGAAGAAACCATGAGATCTACAGCTAGAAAATAGTGATAGGACTGAAGAAAAGAGTCAAGGACTCTGGCTTTTGGTAAAATGTCCCCCTCCCAGTCCCCTATGCCCCAGAACTCCCAGTCTTGTCACAACACCTTGTTCTGAGACCTCATCTCTACAAGAAGCTCGGGTTCAGACTGCAGGCCATCACTTACCTCCTGCAATAGAATCTCCATCTTGCTCAGCAGGTCCCCATCACCCATCCTCCAAAACTCTCCCAATCCTTCCACACTTCCTTGGAACATAGCATCATTGTCCTCCAAAATTTCAACCTCTTTTCAGATTGTTTTCTTGAACTTTCTCTAAATCCTAGCTCCTTATGATGATGCTGCTTCTTCTAGAGTCCTCTCAAATAGGGAATGCTTGATTTCCGAAATCCAACACACCACCAGGCCTGGGAGGTCCAGTGAGCAACCTCCTGGATCTGCACTGTCGGCTCCACCTTGTCCTCACAGTGGAACGTGGCTGTGTAAAGCCATGCCGAGTGACCTAATCATAAGTTTGTGATGACAGAACTCAAGTTGGCCCTAAATTCTGCCCCAAACATTGTACTATATTTTCATCATCTGTTTACTGTCCCACACTCCTAGACACCTATTT